CTAGCCCTTGTAGCTTTCCCAGAAATCCTCCCCAAGTGAACTGAATGTCCCCGTGAAGTGCTGTCCACTGTGTCTGGTCATTTTGTGCATTTTTCAAATGTATGTTTCTTTTAACTCCCCAGGCGTCTCTGTCAGTGTAGTGCTGAGTCCTGCCTCCTGCTGCTCTGGGTCTGAATGCCCAGAGACCATAAATAACAGAATATGCTGACCATGACAGACATAGAAACATCCCTTTCAGAGGGATACAGGGGCCAAAGGGGAAGGTGTGAGAGAATCCCCTGCCTAGGATTTTTAAAGTCATTCTCCCTCCTGCACACGCAGCTCTCCGTGAAAGGACCCCGGGCTCCATCCACGTCCCTGACCAGCCCTTTTCCTTATTTTCATACAGAAACAAACAAAAACCGAGAGACAGAAGATTGTGTCTGAATTTCAGCAACTGCGGCAGTTCCTGGAGGAACAAGAGCGACTCCTGCTGGCCCAGCTGGAGAAGCTGGACGAGGAGATTGTGAAGATACAGAATGAAAATGTCAGTCAACTCTCCGAGCAGATTTCCCATCTCAGTGAGCTGATCAGTGAGATGGAGGGGAAGTGTCAGAAGCCAACAAGTGAATTTTTGCAGGTGAGACTGAATGAGAAACATAGGTTGGTGCTTCAGGGCAGCCAGCTCCCGCGCTCAGTGCCGCCCGCCAGCAGCCCTGCCAATCAACTCCTTCCCCTCACTCCAGCGCCTCCCACCTGCTGCGATCAGCTGTTCTGGGACGCTGGGAGGGAGGGGGAGGAGCAGGGAGGGAGTGTGCTCACAAGAGGAGGCAGGGAAGAGGCAGGGTGGCGGTTGAGACGGAGTGGGAGCAGGAAGAGTTGGGCTGGGGTGTGGCATGGAGGAAGGGATGTGGTGGGGGTGGGGCGTGGGATTGAGCACCCCCAGGGATAATTGGAAACCAGCAGCTGTCATTAGAAACATGCCAGATCCCCACACAGGGAAGGGAGGGCTCCTGAATCATAAGCACAGGAGTCCAGCCATCGGAAACCATGGTGTAACTCGGCGTGTGCATTGCTGACATGTGAATAACTATTATTCTTGGCAGAGTCACAGACACAGAGATATGAGAGATGGAAAAGCCCCATTAGCTCAGAGAATCCATGACCCCGGGGCCAGGGCAGGGCCTTTCTTCCCCATATTTGTAAAATCTCTTCCCTGGAATCCTGTGTGTGTGTCAGAGGGGACTGAAATTCTTTTGTCTCTCTCTCTTCTAGGATATTAGAAGCACCTTGAGCAGGTACGTGGCTCTCTCTCACTCCCCCTCACACTTCACAGCGCTGGGAAATGGCTTGGTGGTGATGTTAGCACTGCATCTCCCCAGGGCTCTACATCCAAATGTGTGGGGAAGGTCACATGTTGGATACGAATCTCTCTGATCAACTTCATCCTGAGGTTCTCACCCTTGTATAGAAGACTCTGGAATTCTCCATTCCGTGATAAAGACTGACCTCAAGTATTTCCTAGGGATGTCACCTCTCTGAGGGATTGGCTTCCTCAGGATTGTGGGGATGGAATATGGGCCTGTCACTGCTGGGGCACTGGTCACTATTCAGCCAAGGGCAGCAGTGGAGAAGAGTCTTTCCCACCTGAGGACTCTGTGGAGACCTGTGTGGAATGAGCTGGGGAGGGGGGAGTTGGTGTCTGAGTTTAATTCCTAGAAGGCAGATTTCTACAGCACTTCACCTGGGAACCTCCTGTCACTCAGAGCATGGAGGCCAAGGAGTGAATTGGCCACAGAGACTCAATTCCCCTTTTGTCCCCAGAGCTGATCTCTCCAGACCAGAGTTGAAGAATATTAATGAGTCCTTTGAAGGGAAGGTTGCACGGCCATGGGCTGTGTTGCACCTGCTCTGAGGCTGGGAGAAGTCGAGGAATTCTAACTCCAGGCCCATTAGAGCAGCGACTCACTAGCCAGAACTTATAACGAGTCACACAGTGAAATATAATGACTTGAAATTGTTTCTCTCCAGGTGTGAGAAGGGGAAGTTCCATCAGCCAGAGGAGATTTCTCCTGAACTGGAAGAGCGAGTCAGTGGTTTCTCCCAGAAAATGATTGTGCTATTGGAGACTCTGGGGAAGTTCAAAGGTACCTAGAAGGGATCTAGGAATGGAAATTGGGAGGAGCCTCTGAGACTGAGGGAGGAGAGTGGCTCTGGCCAATTGGTTCACAATTAGATGACGCTTCTATTTAATTGTTGGGTGAGAATGTCATGCATTTGGGCTCCAAGTCACTCAGGTTGATTAATTCAAACCTTTATTTCTACCAAAAATATGTCTTGCCATGACAATTACTGTTAAAGAAAGAAATGACTCAGACTCATCGACTTTAAGGGCAATAAGGACCATCATGATCATCCAGTCTGACCTCCTGCACATTTCAGGCCACAGAACGTCACCCACCCACTCCTGCAATAGATCCCTAACCTCTGACTGAGTTACTGGAGTCCTTAAATCATGATTTAAAGCTTTCAGATCAGAGAATCCACCACTGACACTAGTTTAAATCTGCAAGTGACCCATGCCCCACAACCACAGAGGAAGGCAGAAAACCCCCCAGGCTCTCTGCCAATCTGACTTGGGAGGAAATTCCTTCCAGACCCCAAATATGGTGGTCAGTTGAATACCGAGCATTTTGGCAAGACCCAACAGTGAGACATATGGCAAAGAATTTTCTATAACACAGAGCCCTCCCTATCTACTGCCCCATCACCAGCCATGGGACACATATTTCAAAGGCGGACCCAGCCCATCACTGAGCTCTGGTCCCATACGGCAGCTAGTCTGGGCCAAATAGGCTGTAGGGGGAAGGAGAAAGCCCCTCCCCCATGGTCAGGGATCCGTCCAGCACAGGAGCCTCTGGTACCTCCTCCACAGCAGCTGCAGGCACAAGGTGGGTTCCTGAGAGGGCTGGGAATGGGGTGGGAGTGGTGAGGGCGGATGGAAGAGGAAGGGGGGTAGACAAGGGACAGAGCGACATGGGCAGTGTAAAGCTGGGCCTCTGAAACTCTGCACGCTGGCCAAGACAGATGGGGGCCATTGTAATAGGGATGAATATGTCCCATTGTGTCAATCTTCCCCCCACTTCAATTTCCACATTTATAAAATGCTTTTACTATTATTTCTTTTTCTGCCTGTGGAGGACAAGGCCCCGTCCTGCTGCTCTCTGTAGAGACGCTGAGTAAA